ACATCCAAGCAAGGAACCAGCCTTGACAGTGAGCGGAGACGAGAGGGGACAGAGAGTTGAGGAAAGAGGAAGCATGGCACACACACACACACACACACACACACACACACACACACACACACACACACACACACACACACACACACACACACACACACACACACACACACACACACACACACACACACACACACACACACACACACATACTCTCTCTCTCTCTGATCAAATCACCGGTCAGCTCGCACTTGCGCATCGCCGTCACGCGGACAGGAGCAGCACGGCGCCACTGATCATGCACGCGTTTCCAAGCGCAACCTGCCACACAATCGCGTCCCCAAACACAACAAAGCCCAACAGCGTCTGCAAACAAATACAGAGACAGCAAGTGTGTGTGTGTGTGTGTGAATGTGTGAATGTGTGAATATGTGTGTGTATGCGGGTCCTGTGTGAGTTGCGACCTCTTGATGCGTCACTTGATATGCCACTTGTCTGAATTCGCTGTGCCTATGTTGCATCTTGTGCGTTCGCATGAGCATTGCTTCCGCACGTCAACCACCCCCGCCTCAACACACAATATAAGTCGCTGTGTACCAGCTTCGTTCACGTCATGTCTGATTCGTGCGCACTGACCGAGGTGATGGAGTTGATGACAAAGTTGACGATGGTCGGCACAAACGCAGACTCGCTGGCGGCCAAGGCGGCGGAGAAGGCGACCCACATTCTGGCGTTGGCCATCATGAACACGGCAGCGGTAACGGTCCGCACCATCCACACCACAGCTACAGCATTGCCGTCCTCTTCATTCAGGCCTTGCAGTTGTACCTGCGAGGAGGAGGAGGAGGAGGAGGAGGAGGAAGGGCAGACGAGCGTGGGGAATGACGCGCGTGAAAAAAAGGTGACATCAGCCGTCATAGCACATACATGAAACAACTCGAAGCTCACTGCGCACACATTTATGTATGTATCCATGTGATGTATGCATACAGACACACAAACAAACAAACACACACACACACACACAAACAAACACACAGACACACAGACACACACACAAACAAACACACACACACACACACACACACACACAACAACACACACACACACACACACACACACACACACACAAACACACACACACACACACACACACACACACACACACACACACACACACACACACAAACAAACATGGTACGTACTGGCATGGAGCCCATGGCCATCTTGAGCGCCAGACCTGCTGTCGCCGCCCACACGCCAGCCACACATCCGCCCCTCACCACATCACCACTGCCACCACCACTGCCACTGGCATGCATCACCATCCACTCCTCCCAACTGTGTTAATTGTTTTGCGCAATATTTTTAGAACACATGCGCGCAATCAAGGCAAGCGCACAGCTGTTGGTGGTGGTGGCGTGATGTTGCTGAGGGGGTGCTGTTGTTGTGGTTGATGGCTTGGATGGCTTCGATAGCTTGGATGGCTTCGATAGCTTGGATAGCTTGGATGGCTTGGTGGATGGCGATGGTAGTGGTGGGATCACATGGGGGACGTGTCTGCGTGGAAGGGTGCCTGCTCCTGTCGTCACCACGGACTTGTCAATGCATTCATGCTGTTGTCTGTTTGCTGTCGGTTGGTTGATTGCGCATCAGTCAGTTCTAACACGTGTGTCATGTGCTTGTGTCACGGGTTGCTGTTCTTGTCCACTGGCTCACAGGTACTCCTCCTCTGAACCGTTGCTGTCATCATCGTCATGCCGGCGAAGGACCTTAAGCATCCAAAAGTGAGCGCACCACACATTGCTTCACTGAAATGCACACAACAACAACAACAACAACAACAACAACAACAACAACAACAACAACAACAACTCACACGTACACCACAACACCACGACACACACATACATCATCATCATCATCATCATCATCATCATCATCATCATCATCATCATCATCATCATCATCATCATCATCATCATCATCACACAACTCACACACGCACACAACAACAACAACACGACAACACGACAACACACACACACACACACACACATAAGGACACGCCTGATCGCCATGATCGGCTCATCCCGGCCGTGCCAGCGTACGCAACGGCGGGCATCTACATGTTCTTCTACCACCTGGCCCTGAGCTTCTTGCACCTGATTGGCGTGGGCCGCCCCTGCCCATACAAGCTCGGGGTCCGCCGCGACAACAACACCGTTGTCGGGCAGTCGTGCCGCTCCCTCTTCTACGTCCTGTGGAACTCCCGCATCCCGGAGGGCAGCCGCGTCCTGGTGACGCCCTTCCACCACTCGTCGTTTGTGCGCATGATGCGCGACTCTGGGCGCGAGCTCGTCGTGTGCGAGCAGAGGAACAACGAGCTTGTAGAGCCCACGGAGTACGGCCCGCGCGACTTCAACGCCGTCGTCATCACGCACATGCTCGGCCGCGACTTTGAGTGCGAATGGCTCAAGCGGTGGAAGCGGGAGAACCCGGCGCTGCTGGTGATTGAGGACCGCGTGCAGGGCGGCCTGCTCAGCATGGAGGACCCAGACCTGTGCGACGTGTCCCTCTACTCGACAGGCCAGGACAAGCTGCCAAACTTCATGGGCGGCGGGTTTGCGCGCGTGCACAGCGCCAATCACCCGACCCTGTACGAGGACATGGCCACCGCGCTGGAGGCGCTGCCCTTTGAGTCCGCGTGGGCGCGGTTCACGTTCCTGGTGAAGAAGATCCCAACAGTGCTCATGTACAACTGGCGGCCCGCCACCATCGCCGCCGACGCACTCGCACACGTGCTCGGCTTCTCTCGCTGCGCACTCACGGACACGTATCGCAAGAAGAACCCCGGCTTCATGCACCACGGGTTTGCCATCCGCCCCTCTGCCGCCACGCTCCAGTCCATGGACACGGTGCTGGAAACAGACACGTGGGAGGAGATGCAGAGGGATTGCACGCGCAAGTTCCGCCTCTTCCTCGACAACGTCGATGCAGACGTGCGCGCACACGTGAAGCCGTTTGCTGCAGACACGTCGTGCTGCTACTTCTTTGTCCGTCTGCCCGATTGCGCAGAGAGCAGGGAGATGCTGGCGCAGCGTGGCATCATCACCATCAGCAACCAGACGTACATCGCCCTCAGCAGCAAGCACGCGCCCATCTTGGACGACATGGTCCTGCTGCCAAGCCTCATGCCGCTGCGCAGCGACGAAATCAAGACACTCGCCAAGCACGTCTCTGACACGTGGCGTGTTGTTGGCGCCGACAAGATGGCCCAGCACACGCAGCCGCCCGTCGTCCATATCCAACCCACGCTCGTCTGAGCGCAGGGGATCGTTGCCCGTGTTTGGCGCTGTGTTCGTTTGCTTGTTTGCTTGTTTGTTCTGTCGTGTTCGCTGGCCTGTCGTGTTCGCTGGCCTGTTGTGCTTGCTTGCCTGCTTGCCTGTCTGCTTGCTTGCCTCGTTTGCTTGTTTGTGTGCTTGATTGTTCGTTCTGCTGCAACGTAATTGTTTCGTTTCTCCGCTGCATTGCACCGATGCTCTCGCACATGTTGATGCTGTGGTTTGTCTGCTGGCATCTCGTTGTTCTGCTGCTGCTGCTGCTGATGATGATGATGATGTGTTGAAGTTGCTCTTTTTGCTCCTTTACCTTCCCGTGGTGATGCAATGAACACAAGAGCGAACATCTTACTTGATGATGTACTCGCGCGTGCGCTTCTTGTGACGGGTCACAAGCACAGCAGTCAATATCAACACACACACACACACACACACACACACACACACACACACACACACACACACACACACACACACACACACACACTCGCGCGCGCGAAATGAAAACGTAGACGAGCCGAGATGGTAACACAGAGAGAAAGGTACGGGGATAGAAGTGAATGAACATCAGTTCATGACCAGGGAAGCGTTAAGTGCAGTTAAACAGGAAGCAGCAGAGATGCGGGGAGATTAAAGGATAGCAAAGGGGGGGGGGCATGAGCAAGTGCAAGGTGAAATGCAAAACTGGTGACAGTGGGGGCCGGGTGTTCATGCGGGAGGAAAAGGCCTTTCGAAAATAGCGTTATCCCTACGAGCATAAGGTCGAGAGAGAGAGAGGGGGGGGGCAAAGAAGCAGAATATGCACATGCATGAAACGCATTAAACAAGCGTGAAAGGGGGACAAGGAGAGCAGCCATGTAACACGAGAAAGAAGGGAGCGCGGGAACGCACAATGTAAACACGCAACGCGTGTGCGTGTTCACGCCTCCATATCGAACGCTGACGACGACGATGATGATGATGGTAAGTGCAGTGGTGTGGTGGGCAGCGAAACGGCACGCACTGGCAGGTCGGCATCCGTCGTCTGTGATGAGTATGTGGAGGTGTGGGAGGTGTGGAGGTGTGGAGGTGAGCTGGCACAGCCGGAAACATGAATTTACACTCACACACACACATTCACATACGCTCGCGTACAATCATACACACACATTCACAAACATTCACACACACACATACACATTCACACACATACACATTCACACACATACACATACATTCGCACACTGCACTGCATCCTGAGCTCACCAGTATTGCTGTCGACGACGCTGATGATGAGGACGGCATGAATGCATCATCGCCAGCATCCATTGCAACACGAGGTGCCATTGGCAGCGCCGTGGTCGCGCCAGCACTTCTCCTCCCTTCTCTCGAACCCTCGTCCTCACTCTCGCCCTCAGCAGCCATGCCATTGTAGTGGCTTACATGCTGATGATAGTGATGGTGGTATTGTTGGTGGTGGTATTGTTGGTGGTTGTGGTATTGTTGGTGGTATTGTTGGTGGTGATGGTGTTGTGTGCGGTCACCATCATGCGATGATGACGGTAATCGCGACAGTCCCGAGAGACCGCTGTCAAGACACCGTCTCCTCACGTGCGGGGACACCGCAATCACCCCCGCGCTCACGCTGCTCGTCAGCCGCCGTGACGGGTTGCGTGCGCTGCTAGTACCGCACCCACTGGTGGTGGTGGTGGTGGTGGTGGTGGTGGTGGTGGTGGTGAACGCTGACGATGAGGATGAAGGCATGGATGTGCCTGCTGTCATTGCTGTTGTCCCTGCAGACGTTGCAGCGGGGAACAGCGGCGATGATGACGGCGATGACGACGATGTGGGCGCAAACGGAAGGTCGAGGTGGGGGCGCTTGTGCGGGTTTGAGTCGAAGACGGGGGTTGGACTTGACGGGAGGAGGTGCGGTGAGCGCTGTACAGGCGACAGCGACGCGGCGTCGCGCACAGACCGCCGCAGGAGACTCGCTTTGGGGGGGGGGGGGGAGGGTGGGTGGAAGGGAGGTGGAGACGGAAGTAGGGTGAATGTCGTGTTACATGGGATGCAGAGGGGGTGGACAATGTAACGTAGATTAAACTTGATACAAAGCGGGGTGCACGGTGGATTGTGGAGAGGTAGGGGAGGGGTGCGGTTCAGGGACGAGCCATGCAGCAGGCAGCACCGCCATCACAACCACCACCAGCAGCACCACCCTGTACCTTCGCCAGCAGTTGTTGGGCGAGCGGAGGATTTCTTGACGAGAGGACTCGAGCAGCGCGGCGCCGGCGTCGACACCCGACGCAGACTGTGGCTGGTGGTCGGAATGTCAGTTGTTTGTGGCGACGTGGTGGTGGTGGTGGCAGTAGTGGCAGGAGTGGCGGTGGTAGGTTATGGTGATGGAAGTACAAAGAGGGATAAACAGAACATCGACACAGTGACGCGACTACGCATGCGCACAGGCGCATGTTTGTATGACATGACACACCTCCTGACGAGGGATTTGCGTGAGAAGTTGCGCGGGAGCGATGATGATCGCGGGCGGAACGATTCGTTGGGCGACGATGCCGACGGCGACCGTTTCAGCGGCCCTGCAGCCATAATGGATGGTCGAGATGGTGGTGGTGGACGGTCGAGATGGTGGTGGTGGACGTGCCACGTGAGGTCGACAGACATGGCTGTGTATGTGAGTATGTGTATGTGTATGTGTATGCGTATGTATGTGTGTGTGCATGTGCTTGTTGCTCGTGCAAAGTTCGTATGAGTGTACCGTCGAGGTTGAGGTTGTCGAGACTGGAGTTGACGACGTTCTGCTCCACAACCGAGCGCTCGTGCTGCACCTCCTGTGCTTGGATGTGGGGTCTGCAGTGGTTGCGCATGGCCACGTACATGAAAAGCATCACAATGAGCGCGATCCAGCCCACATGCAATACGAGAGCAACAAACACACACACACACACACACACACACACACACACACACACACACACACACACACACATGTGTATGGACGCACAAGAGCGAGCACGTACGCGAGGGTGGGGAAGTGTCTTCTGAGCTCCTCTGTCCTGTGTAATTTCTTGGGAGATCTCGGCGGTAACGGAGGCGTGACGGGAGCCTGTGCACACGAGCAGCGCATGTGGTCGAAAGCGGCAAAATGTGTGTATGCATGCGTGGGTGTGAGCGCACATGAGACATGACGGTTGGCAGCGTGCAAGGGATCGAGGGATCAAGGGATCAAGGAACACGACGAAGGCAGTGTAAAACATGTGATGTTAGACACACAAATGCACACACACACGAACGCACACACACACGCACATACACACACACGTACACGCACGCGCACACACGCACGCACACACGCACGCACACACACACACGCACACACCTTTTGTTGTGTATCTTCCTCGTCATCGGAATCTGAGCCGGAGCACCGAAACGCCATCATGGTCTGTAGTTGGAACCTGTCTGGATATGTCAACATCGACAATCAGAGGCAGTGCGCACGGTGTCACCTGTGAGTGTGTGTGTGATGCGAGCAAGTGCACGCGCGCGCGCAGTGCCATCCGCGTACAAAGGAGCAGGGGGGAGTGGCAGTGCACAAGTGCGCACGCACGACGTGCTTCCACACACACAAACCTTAGACGCGCGCGAAACTGGATCGAGCATTCATCAATTCAGCAATCATATCAAATGCGCATCTCGGCTTCGCAAACAAACACACATGCATGCACAAACATTCGTGTACCTTGATGCAGCGCGAAGGGGGTACAACGGGTGGGTGCGTGCCACTCCTTGGATGGGCACCACTCACAAGAGCAGCAGCGATATTGTGACTTGAGTCTCCGGATGTCGATCCCGGCAGTGACGGGACGCAGCGAGACACAGAGTTGTTGCGTAATTCACGCACAAACACAATCCTGTCCTCTCCGCAAAGGGCGCCAAAACAGAGAGATGTCGAACGAAGGGAACAACGCAGCTGCTGTAGTGGTTCCGAGGTGGGTGCGCTTCCTTCAGCGATGAACGAGTGAACGTTGCGTGTGTGTGTGTGTGTGTGTGTATCAGGTCGTGGGTTGGTTCGTGCCTTCTTCTGATATCAACACACAAGACGAAGGGAAGGCGAAAGGAAGGACGCCGGTATTTGTGTTGGTTGGTGTTTGGGGGCTTCGCACCGCAACAGGCAAAGGCAAATTTGCCAACAGAGCAAAGGGCAAACTTGCCTTTGAGACAGTGGTGCTGTGTTGTGTGTTGGCTGTGAAGATGGATGCTCGCTTGCTTGCTTGTCTGCTCGCTTTGCTCGCTTGCTTGTCTGCTCGCTTGCTTGCATGTGTGGTGAGATTGTGCTTGGTAGTGCTTTCTTCAATATCACGCATGTGTTGGCTCACATCGCCACTTCGCCACATCGTCACACACACACACACACACACACACACACACACACACACACACACATACACATACACGTAGCGGTAGACATGGCACGGTTATCGATGAAGCGGATGGTGGTCCGCGCGGCCATCATTGTGGCGCTGATTTTCGCGGCGTACAAGTACGGCTTGTTCCAATCAAAGACGCCCTTCACATACGAGCGACGGACCTTCAAGGACTACAAGGGAGGTGCGCCATGGCGCATGCACGGCATCCTCGGGCTGCGGCCGGACGGCACCCCAGGGTTCCCGCGCGCAGAGTGCCCTACAAACTACAACATGGCAGAGGAACTGCGGTCCAACGGTTTCTTCGCCCGCCTCAGCGACTGCCTGCCACTGGACAGAAACATCACCGATGGCCGCCACAAGTCGTGCCGCTTCGTGCAGTACGACCTGGACAACCTGCCCGACACGTCCGTCATCTTTGTGTTCTACAACGAGCACCCGTCCGTGCTGCTGCGGTCCATCCACAGCGTGCTCAACCGCACGCCGCCGCAGCTGCTCAAGGAAATCATCCTGGTTGACGATGGCAGCGACCTGCCGTGGCTCGGCCAGCCCTTGGAGGAGTACGTCCAGCTCCTGCCAAAGGTGCGCATCGTGCGCAACGAGAAGCGGTCGGGGCTGGTCAAGGCACGACTGCGCGGCGTGGAGGAGTCGACGGCGCAGACCTTCACGGTGCTGGACAGCCACATTGAGGTGGAGGAAGGTTGGTGTGAGCCGCTCATGGCCCGCATCAAGGGCGACCGCACCCGTGTCCTCATGCCCCAAATCGACAGCATCAACCAGGAGGTGTGTTTTGCTTCTGTGTGTGTGTGTGTGTGTGTGTGTGTGTGTGTGTGTGTATCTGTGTCTGTGCGTGTTGCGCGCGCTTGTGTGTGGGTGTGTCTATGTCTGTGTTTGTGTGCATTCTGTCCGTGCCTGTGCATTGTACCTGTGTCTGTCCTACCTGTCCATTTGTTCTGTCATCCAACTACAATCAGCCCTCCCACCCTCTTACATGCGTGCATTCAAAGTGTAGTCGCCCACACCCTCACCATCCTCGCTCACCACCCCCACCATCACCACCATCATCGCAGACGCTGGACCCTGTTGTTGGCGGCATTGGGTGTTCGCTCGGTTTCCTGTGGAACCTCATCGAGCACTCCATCCCCATCCAGAAGAAAGACCAGGCCCTGCGCACCACGGCCATTGATGCCGTGCGCTCCCCGACAATGGCTGGCGGCCTCTTCACCGCCGACCGCGAGTTCTTCTGGCACCTCGGCGGATACGACACCGAGTTTGGGTTCTGGGGCACCGAGAACCTCGAGTTTTCGTTCCGCATCTGGCAGTGCGGCGGGTCGCTGGAGTGCATGCCGTGCTCGCGCATCCACCACATCTTCCGCAAGGGCGGGCACGCGTACAGCCTGCCGCCGGGGCATGTGGCCAAGAACAAGCTGCGCACGGCAGCCATCTGGATGGACGACTACGGGTTTATTGTGAAGGAGGCGATTGGGGCGGCGGGGAAGCAGCCCGATATTGGGCCGCTGGACCACATGCTGGAGCTCAAGCAGCAGCTGCAGTGCAAGAGCTTCGACTGGTACCTGAAGAACGTGTACCCGGAGGGCATCATCACCGACCTCTCCGACATCCGCGCGCTGGGCACAGTCAAGAACACGGCCAACAACATGTGCGTGGACAACATGCAGCACATGTATGCGGATGCGAAGATGGGGGCGTACGCGTGCCATGGCCACGGCAGCCAGACATTCCTCATTCTCGCACGCACGAAGGAGATCCGACCTGTGGGCAACTTGGAGCTGTGCTTGACCTCTGACACGACCATCTCGTGGTGCGAGTCGAGGCACGACGTGACGTGGGACTATGACCAGGCAAACATGCTGCTCAAGAACACAAAGACGCAAAAGTGCCTTGCTGTTGGCGATGGGAACAACCTTGTCACGGAGGATTGTGATCTGCACAATGACAGGCACAAGTGGACTTTTGATGACAAACACCCAGACAAGCACCCGGCTGTCCACTTTTGAAGCGTAGGCTGGTTGTCTGTCTCTGTGTGTGTGTGTGTGTGTGTCTGTCTGTCTGTGTGTGTGTGTGTGTGTGTGTGTGTGTGTGGTTGTCTGTGTGTGTGTGTGTGTGTGTGCGCGCGCGCGTGTGTGTGCCTGGGTTTCTCGGGCCTGTCTGATTGTGCGCGCCGTGTGATTTTTTTTCCTGTGTTGGTTTGTTACATGCCTCCCACCTCGTTGATCGGAAACGTGTACACGTGCTGTTGGACCGTGTCGTTGCTCAAGTGTGATGATGACATTACTTGCGTGAGTGCTCGCGTGCGTGCGTGGCTCCAACAGTAACACCCACACGCCAACGACCGAAATAGAACAGAGATGCAACGGCCCAGTAGATATGAACAGGGACAGGGGAAGAACAGGGAGAATGAAGAAAGAAGAACCTTCTCCGTACATACACAAACACATGCACATGCACACATACACGCATGCACACTTGCGTGTTTGCCTGTGCTTAAGCTGGTGTGGACGTTGTGGTTGTGCTGCTGGATGCCGTGGGAGGATTCTTCGGGATGAATTCGCACGTGCGCGTCGTGTCGTTCTCGACCAACCCAACGGGGCATGACGCAACGCACGCACCGTCAAACAGATATGTCGTGTTGTCGCACTGCGTGCACACGTCACTGGTGCTGCACATCACACACCCTTCGACATTGCACGACATTGTTGTCGTCGTTGTAGTGGTCGAGGTGGTGGTTGAAGATGAAGTCGTGGTGGTTGTGGTTGTGGTTGTGGTTGTGGTTGTGGTTGTGGTTGTGGTTGTGGTTGTGGTTGTGGTTGTGGTTGTGGTGGTCGTGGTCGTGGTGGTGGCTGTCGTAGTCGTCGTAGTCGTCGTAGTCGTCGTGGTTGTGGTGGTTGTGGTTGTGGTTGTGCCGCCATTCCCATTTGTGGTTGTGGAGATTGGGGTGAACGTGGATGTCGTTGTTGATAGGAGCTGCTTCGGGATGAAATCGCACGTGCGCGCCGTGTCGTTCTGAATCAACCCAATTGGGCATGATGCAACGCACGTGTTGTCGAACAGATACGTTGTGTTGTCGCAGCGCGCGCATGTGTTGTTTGCACTGCACTCTGCACAGTTTGGAATTTCACACACGAATGTTGTGGTAGTGGTTGTCGTGGTTGTGGTAGTGGTCGTGGTCGTAGTTGTTGTGGTAGTGGTTGTTGTGGTAGTGGTTGTCGTGGTTGTGGTAGTTGTCGTGGTAGTTGTAGTGGTCGTGGTCGTTGTAGACGTTGTGGTTGTTGTCGTGGTTGTTGTCGTGGTTGTCATGGAGACGATCTTTAGAAGCGTGATGCCCTCCACTCCACCACTGCTGACGGTTTCGTTCGAGAGCGTCAGCAGCAGCCGGCACACGACGGTGCCCTGTCGGTTCGTCAGGTGGTACAGCCCAGCACACGCCGCCTCCGCCGTACAGCGATCCACGCACGTGCTCAAGTCAATGTTGTCAATTCTCTCCAGGAGACTGTCGCCGTCAAATGCGTTTGACACGCGTTCTTGGCCCTCTGCAACCACCACATACGACATGGACCCAGGGATGGTGGACGTTGTGGCAGTTGCGGTTGAAGATGTCGTTGTGGTGGTAGTCGTGCTAGTTGTGGTTGTGGAAGTCGTTGTAGTTGTAGTTGTGGATGTTGTGGTGGTCGTGGAAGTCGTTGTAGTTGTGGATGTGGTTGTGGTCGTGGAAGTCGTTGTAGTTGTGGATGTTGTTGTGGTCGTGGAAGTCGTTGTAGTTGTGGATGTTGTGGTGGTCGTGGACGTAGCTGTTGTTGTGGTCGTGGAAGTCGTTGTAGTTGTGGATGTGGTTGTGGTCGTGGAAGTCGTTGTAGTTGGGGATGTTGTGGTGGTCGTGGACGTAGCTGTTGTTGTCGTTGTGGATGTTGTCGTTGTGGTAGTCGTGGAAGTCGTTGTAGTCGTGGTCGTGGAAGTCGTTGTCGTGGTGGATGATGAGGAAGATCCACTCATTCCGTTTCCAGAAATAGTGCTCGCAGTCGTTGTTGACGATGGCGATGATGATGACGGGGTGAAGGTCAATGACGCTGTCGTTGTTGTGCTGATACGAGAAGAAGTCGTGGTGGTCGTGGTGGTCGTTGTGGTCGTGGTGGTCGTTGTGGTCGTGGTTGTAGTTGTGGTCGTGGTTGTTGTGGTTGTGGTTGTGGTTGTGGTTGTGGTTGCGGTGGTTGATGATGACAAGCCTGATGATGCACTTGATGTTGAGGTCAATGGCTGCGTCGTTGTACTCGTGGAAACCGTGGTGGTGGACGTTGTAGTCGTTGTTGTGGTCGTGCTTGCGGTTGTTGACGTTGTTGTGGTCGTGCTTGTGGTTGTAGTCGTTGTTGTAGTCGTGCTTGTGGTTGTTGACGTTGTTGTGGTCATTGTAGACGTTGTTGTGGTGGTGGACGATGAGGTTGGGGTGAGTGTTGGAATGGAAGGCGTTGGCGTTGGTGTTGGCATCACCATGACGCTGCTGGCAACTGGAGACGACGTGCTGCTGGCTGTCGTTGACGGTGAAGGCGACAATGTAGTCGTCGTTGTGGGTGTGGTTGTTGTGGTTGTGGGTGTGCTTGTTGAGGCTGTTGTTGAGGCTGTGGTGGTTGTCGTAGTCGTTGTAGTTGTAGTTGTAGACGTTGTGGTGGTTGTCGTAGTCGTTGTAGTTGTAGTTGTAGACGTTGTGGTGGTTGTCGTAGTCGTTGTAGTTGTAGTTGTCGACGTTGTCGTAGTCGCTGTCGATGTCGATGTTGTGCTCGTGGACGTGGTTGTTGTGGTTGTACTCGTCGTTGTCGTAGTAGTGGTAGTGGTGGTGGTGGTGGTGGTGGTGGTCGACGTAGACGTTGTTGTCGTGGACGTTGTTGTTGTGGTGGTGGTCGACGTAGACGTTGTTGTCGTGGACGTTGTAGTTGTGGTTGTGCTTGTAGACATTGTTGTCGTGGACGTCGTGGTCGTGGAACCCGTTGTACTTGTGGTTGTCGTTGTTGTTGTGGATGTGGTTGTCGTTGTGCTTGTGGAGGTCGTCGTGGAAGTTGTCGTAGTTGTACCACCAGTGCCGTTGGTGGTTGTTTGGTCGAACACACTCAAATCAAATGAGTCCGGCACCACAATCACATTCCTGTACATCATTGCGGTGCATGCAAACTGTGAGAGAGGACACACTGCTCACTCTCAAATAACCGTAACAACAACATCAAACCGTCCACAGATTGCTGACGCTTGCGTGCACATCAATCCATACCCAAGCGCACACACCCACGCCCGCACATGAGCACAAAGTAAATACGTACGAGAATGACGTGCGAGGGGACGTGAGGACTGTTGTTCCGGTCAAGTCCTGCTGCTGGAAGACGACGGCAGAGAGCAGCCCAACATAGCCCGATCCGAGCGAGATGCGAGTTGGAGCACCGGGGTTGAGCACGCGGAACCCAAGGGCGCCTGGAAAGGGTAGCATAGTATAGTTGGGAGCGCGTGCAAGTCGTGGCGAAGATTGCATGTATGAGTGAACAAACATGTCAGGGAAGGGCGGACACACATGCTCCTGGGAAGGCTACAATCACACGCAATCACACACAATCACACACACACAATCACACACACAATCACACGCACACACACACATCCGATGCTTGCAAGCAACTTCAAAGTGTGCTTCACCTTGCACGTTCCCCATTGGCGATCCATCCAGTGTCACAGCGGCGGCGGGACCCTGATGGTTGTTGTGGTAGAACGTTGCCAAGCAGCGTGAGAAGAAGGTGGACAAAGAAGAAAGTAGGGGACTCACGCGTTGGAACTGACGCGTAGGAATTGGAGCAAAGGAGAGAGAGAAAGACAGAGCGAGCGAGCACGCTGTTGCCCGACATTACAGGCACACACAACACACGCACATTGAGAGCGACAGTGACGGTGTGGAAGGTGTCATCGGTGACAGCGGTGGAGAATTCCTGACGTGTTGATCCGCCGCCCAAGTTGAACGACACCTGAGACACGGAGCAAGCAGACGTAGAACAAGCACACGCGGCATAATACGCACGTGTTACATCAACGAGTTCTTGCTGAAGATGCAATTGAACGTCAGCGGCTGCGCAAAGATCATCAGGACACCTGTCCGCTGCATTCACACACACACACACACATATTGCGCAATCCATCCATCTTCTTCAGCAGCGCGGCTCAGTCACGATGGTTCTCACCTCAAAGCCGGCATCCGTGACGTCGACCTGCACGAAGTCGACGAGCGTATCGCCATAGAGGCGGAACAATGTTCCACCGGACAGACGCGTTCGGAATCTATAAGGATAGTCATGTGAACACAGAGGGAGAACACAACGAGCCACATGTCAGCAAGAAGCTCTGACAGCAGTCACACATTTGTCCCGGCTTTCGTGTTCAAATTCTCCCTTATCCAAGCAAACGCACACATCCACACACACACACACATCCACACACACACACACATCCACACACACACACACGCGCGCGCGCGCACACACACACACACACACACACACACACACACACACCTGATTGAGACGAAAAATGAGGAGGTGAAGACGGGCGCTGCTGTTTGGAGCGAAAACTGTGACACGGGAGTGAAGAGCAGGGAGGTGCTGTCGGGTGCAGGCGTGCCGACGTCAGACGTGGTGGTCGTCGTCGTTGTCGGAGTTGTTGTCGTTGCGCCCGCGGGGCGACGGAAGGTCACAGACCTGATGGAATGACGAGGAGGATGAGGAGAAGAGGGGGGGGGGCTCGGGTGAGAGAAGCACGAAGCAAGCAGGCATCAGGGGTGCAAGAAGTGGTGAATAAGGAAAAGAGCACGTGGGAACACGGGACCGGTTTCGTGTACATGCGCACATGTGCAGCACGCGGTGTTGCGCTGAGTTGTTCGCACAAGCACAATATGTCTGCATGATGCACTTACGCGACGGAAACCGAGCTTGAAGCGCGTGCGCCAAGAACCAGAATGTTAACGTCATTGAAGACGAAATCGGCAAACTGGCCCTCAAATCCGACCCCAAGGATAGGGCCCTCGCCAACATTCAAGCCTGTTAAGAAGCAAGTTCGCACGAAAGGAGTTAATACTCGCGACTGAGCCCGTGCAGGCGAGGCAAATTGACGCAGGTAAGTGACACAACACGAGACAAAGAGATAAGCAGCGCATTTTCCTCATGTTAGCACCTGTAAAGGACGATGGGCCATTGCGTGTCCGGCGCGTGCCGTCAACCGTGACCGTCAACACGTTCGCTGCCAGCGTGACTTCGACAGAGTGCACGGCACCGTCGTTCACAACACGTGGCTGCATCGCACACAAGCAGACATACACACATAGACACAAGCACGCACGCACGCACGCACATTCACACAGAGTGCGGCGATGGAGGCAGAGTACCAAGAAGGAAGGCGTGAGCGATCGGCAAGAGTCATGAATGTGGCGCACTTTGGCAAGAACAGCCATGCGCACGCTCCAAACCACCACCTGCAAGCCTGCATGTTGCACCCATGGTGAACCTACGTTGCCCCGCGTGAAGACGCCGCCACCGAGGTTCGTGGACACAACAACTTTCCCATCGCGAAGCTCGCCAAGGAGATAGTCGCGCCGCCCGACAATGTGGAACAGCGTGCCCGCGGCTGGTCGGACGTGCATGTCGTTGATTGGGAGAGGAGGGAAGGGGGTGTGAGACGCAGAGAGAGAGTTTGTGTGGTGTGTGTACATGTGTGCGTGTGTGTGTGTGTGTGTGTGCGTGTGCGTGTGCGTGTGTGTGTGTGTGAGTGTGTGTGTGAGTGTGTGTGTGTGTGTGTGTGTGTGTGTGCTGTGTGTGTGTGTGTGT